CTCTCATTCCTTGTATATATATATTAGCTTTTATTCTTCTGTAAAAATCTAGTTGCCAAAGCATTATAACTTGTGTTATATTTTTCTTTTATTAAAATTGATTTTAGAGAGAGAGAGAAACATGGATGTGAGAGAAAACATCGATTGGTTGCCCCCAACATAACCCCCACCCCGACCAGGGATTGAACCCATGACCTGGGTATGTGCCCTGATTGGTAATCAAACCCACAACCCTTTGGTTCACGGGACTATGCTCAACCAAATGAGCCACATCCACCAGGGCATAACTAGTGTTCTATTTTTCATTTGCAAAAAAAATGATTAAAGTGAAAGGAAACAGAAACCTACAAACAAGGCTGATTTCAAAATTAATATGCTGGTGAACAAAATTGTTTTTGTGGGAGATTTTCTTTTTAAGAAAAATCAGAGGCACTTTTAAAAGTATTAAAGGGAAACGGACTGAAACTCTCACTTTCATGGAGAAATTAAATATTTTTATTTTAAATTTTTGTTTATTTTTAAAAGAAAGAACTAAAATTTTATAGTCTATAAATCCTCAGTTGTTAAGTCTTAAGTCTTCCTTACTGTCTGGTATATTCCAGAATATTTAAACTTTGAAATTGTTTAGTGATGGCTTATTTCACATACTCTTCATTTTTTTTCTCTTTCCATCCTCCCCTTCCTCTCGCCCTCACCCTCTCTCCTCCCTCCCTTCTTCCCTTTCTTCTTTCTGGTTTTTTTTTTTTTTTTTTTTTTTTTTTGCAGAGCACTGCTTTTGGAATGTGTTTAGGCTAAAGAAGGAAATGTCTTTTGTCATTTTAATGGAACACTTAGATTATTGCTAAGCAGCAAGTTCCATGGACACAGAGCAAGAAAGTGGTCAATTTATCATAGTTTCCTATACAGTTCTCTCAGTTCCTTGCTTTTGAACTTCAGGCATATTTTAATACATCAGTGGAGAGAGCTGAAGTAACGCAGCTACTGGGTCAAGGTGATTGGGAAAGAAGAGAAGGGAGTGGCATTTGTGCTCAAAACTGGCCTGAGATGACCTGATACTTAGCCTACACCTCTGAGATTGCTCCTTCCCCTGCACATTCAGATGCTGCTTCAAATTGGGGCTGTTATTATTGAAGTACAGCTTGATATTCACATGGCCTGTTTACCCTTCCTCTAACTATTACTCAACTGGAAAAACTCACTGTCCATTGTCTAGCATATCATTCAACAAATAGCTCTGCCAGGCCCATGCTGGGCTCTGGAGGATTGGAGGCCTCCGTGCAAATTGGAGTAGTCCTGCCTTTGTACAGCTGACACCCTCATGGGGAAGAAAGACAGCAAATGAGTGAATGGGTAGGATGATTTCAAATAGTGATGATTCCATAAAGAAAGTTTATAAAATAGGGTGACTTGGTGGAGGATTATAGGGGAGTTACTTTATAGAGAGTGGCCAGGAAGGGCCTCCCTGAGCAAGACCTGAATGATGAGAAGAAAGTAGAGATGCAACTGGGAAGGGGTGGGCATTCCAGGCAGGGGGAACTGCAAATGCAAAGGCCCTGAGGTAGATATTAATTTGGCATGTTGTGATGCCAGAAAGTGGGAGTGTGATCTGAGAACTGAGCAAGGCCCAGATCATATATGACCTTGTAGGCCAGGCTAAGAACTTTGGAATTTATTCTAATTGCAAAAGGAAGTCATTAGCAGATTTAGCATAGGAGATGACATGATCTGATTTATGTTATTGCAAAGATCATTTTGTGTGCTTTGTAGCAAGTGGGTTAGAGTTAGGACAAAGTAGAGAAAAATTAGAAACTAGAGTAGTCCCAGATTTAGATATAGGCAGCTTCATTTTTAATTTTGGATGGTTCCATTGTTTTCTCGGTGTTTTCACATGCTCTTCTCAGACATGGAGAAGAACAATTTCAATAAAAATGTTGGCATTTCAGAATATCAGTAACTGTGATCAGAGAGTATGGTGAATAAGAGAGAAATCTTTTATTTAATGCATGTGATATGCTTGATTAAGTGAGACAACGTACCTTTTGTTTATTCAATACTGTCTTCTCTGTGCCAAGCACCGTCACCCCATGTAATTATTTAATAAATTGTCATTCTAACTAATAAACAGAAAATTTGCCTGTACAAAAATATGTTCAATAGTTGAAAGTTCTGTTTTGTATATTCACACTGCTTACATTTTCTTCCATTTTTTCATATGGACTGCTCCTAATTCTATCTTCAAATCCCAGGTCCTCTTGCTCCTGTTTTCTCTCAAATGAAAGGACTCAGAATAATAAAGTATTTTTAACAACTCTAAAACACTCCTCAAATAGAAGTTTTGACAGGTTGTAGTAACTTTTAGACTGGCTTTCAGATCCATCTTCATGACAATTGTATAAATGAATCATAGCCCTTAACATTTCTAAGAAGCACAACGCTCCATCTCACTATTCTGTTCTCCACCCACCCCCCACCCCCATCCTGCCCAGCAGGGCAAGGACTAGGGTGAGGGGGTGAGAACGAGTCATGCAAAACTGAGTCATACATATAGGGGCCAGGTCCTTTTTTATTTTAAAATGATACTATGTTCAACATGGGGATTTTTGCTTTAATTTTGATCTGTCAAAATGTTGCATTAAAATATTATTTATCTTGATTGCTAAGTCTTTTGGCACCTCCTTAAATTTTGCAAAGTAATTGCCTCTCTCATCACCCTAGTCCCTGTCCTGCTCCCCTAGAAATATGTCTCCTTCCCCCAAAACTTCCTGTAGCCCAAGCCCGGCCCTGGGCATGTCAGTCAATTTTTTTCTTAAAATACTTTTTTATTGATTTCTAGAGAGAGAAAGGGAGAGGGAGAGAGATAGAAAATATCCATTGGCTGCCTCCTGCATGCCCCCTACTGGGGATTGAGCCAGCAAACCGGGCCCTGACCAGAATCCAGCCAGCAACCTTTCCATCCACAGGATGACACTCAACCAACTAAGCCACACAGGTCAGGGCATGTCAGTCTATTTTTAAAGGTTTTTTTTATGTGCATCTGACATAAATTTAGATCTGCTACAGAAAAGGAGAGCTCTAATGGTGTCATTTTTAGAGGAAGACTCTTTAAATTGATAATTGAATCAGATAAGGGGTTAATTTCCAATATATATAGGGTGCTCATACAACTCAACAAAAGGAAGACAAAGAACCCAATTAAAAAATGGGCAGAGGAACTGAATAGACACCTCTCCAAACAGGACATACAAATGGCCAAGAGACAAATGAAGAAATACTCAACATCACTAATCATCAGAGAGATGCAAATTAAAACAATAATGAGGTATCACCTCACACCTGTCAGAATGGCCACCATCAACAAATCATCAAACAACAAGTGTTGGCGAGGGTGTGGAGAGAAGGGGACTCTAATACACTGCTGGTGGGAATGCAGACTGGTGCAGCCACTATGGAAAACAATATGGTGTTACCTCAAAAAATTAAAAATTGAACTTCCATTTGACCCAGTGATCCCACTTCTAGGAATATACCCTAAGAAGCCTGAAACACCAATCAGGAAGAATATATGTACCCCCATGTGCATAGCAGCACTATTTACAATAGCTAAAATCTGGAAACAGCCTTTCAGAAGATTTCCCAGGTCACATTCAGTAAGTAGTTATAGCAAAACTGTGATGATTGTAAAAGTTTTCAAATGGCATGGGGAGCTTTAAAAACAAATTATATGCCCTGGCGGGTTTGGCTTAGTGGTAGAGCATCAGCCCAAGACCAATGAGTCGCAGGTACAATTCCAGCCAAGGGCAGGTACCTCAGCCGCAGTTCATCCCTGGCCCTGGTAAGGGTCATGTGGGAAGGAAGCAGTCAATGTGTCCCTCTCATATTGATGTTTCTCTGTCTCTCCCTTTCTCTCTCTCTCTCTCTCTCTCTCTCTCTCTCTCTCCTTTCCACTCTATCTGAAGATAAATAGAAAAATATCCTTAGGTGAGGATAAAAATAAAAGGTTAATTATACCTCTTTCTTGTCTTTTTATCTCCCTTAAAGAAGAAGGGGATGGGGGCAGGACGGAGAGAGGGAGGGACAAGTGCATTGGAACAGTTTGAAGACATCTTTTAGGACTGGAGTATATGGTCTTGACTCAAAGGATGACTGGTTCCATGGCTCGCAGACTCGTGTTATATTAAAGCTTAACTAGCAACGTGAGTCTCCATGATTCCAGGTGGGTTGAACATTTAGTTTCTAGAGGACCAGTGTGGTGCAGTTGAAAGGATAACTACAATTTATCTTCACTGTGACCTGGGTAACTTCAGGTTAAGTCCCAGGACGGGGTAGCTTGACTCCCCTCTTCTTAGTTTTCTATGTAGAGCATTAGAATTAGAATCCCTTGGTTCCTGTGTGGATCTTAGCCTCTTGCTGAACCTGTTTCCTCATTTGTAAAGTAATGATAATAATTCCCCTTTCAACAGGTGTCCATGTGTATGAAATTATATGATATCTGGAAGGGCTGACATGACCTAACAACATAGGTGATCAATACAAGTGTGATCATGAATCTGGCTAAACTATGTCAAAAGTGATGTGCACATTTCTAATTGGTATATGTTAAGTGATGGATCCAGGCAGACATATTTCGCATCCCTATAAATTATTCTTAATTATACACAACATCTAAGACCTTGTACTAATACTCATTCTTCACTCGTAAATATTGGTGGTAATACATATAAAGCAACTAGCTCAGTGAAACATCCTAGGGCTTCAGGACACAAAAATTTAAATATGAAAATGGATTTAACTACTCAATTTTCTCATTCAATTGCAACCTCAATCTCAAATGAATAGCATGTGTAAGAGACATGTAAAGTATTAATTTATAGAATATAGACCATTTAATTAACATTTCTGAAAGAAATATTAATTAAAAAACACAACTAAGTACAAAACCTAAAATAATTGCTATATTCTTTATGATGGAAGTTTGTAATGTTTTAATCTTTTAATTTCAGATGCTAAATCAAACATCTCGACTTGAAATACAACTGCTGGAGAATTCATTATCAACATACAAACTGGAGAAACAACTTCTTCAACAGACAAATGAAATCCTAAAGATTCATGAGAAAAACAGGTAAGGATTGCTGTATTCCCAAACTACTTAACATGACTTACTTATACCCTCCCCCTCTCTGCTCTTAACAAAAAATAAAAAAAAAATAAAAAAAATTGAAGTTGTTTGGGAGAAAAAGAAAAATCTAGAGCCAAGTTAATTTTGAATATAAAATCAAAGGAGAGCTTTCTCTGTCTCTCTCTTTCCCTATTCCTTCTCATATTCATACTTTTATTCCTTCTTTATAAAAATATATATCCCGTCTACCCTAATTCTCTTCTATTTGGACTTTTTGTCTTTCCAACATGATTCTTGACATGACGCCTGATATCCTTTCCGACTGTGGAATTCTCAACAGGGACTGCCCTTTGCTTTCAAGTTCTCTCTCTGCTGCATCAGCAGAGTGGAGTTGGTTACTCTGCTGCAGCTCAGGGAGAAGAGGTTGCCCCTCCGAGGAGTTGGACCCCGATCCCAGATCCAAGCCTGTACATGGCTAAGGAACTTTCCCCCTCATCGAATGCTAATTTCTAAGGGAAATTCAGGTTTCCTACATGTACAAATTACACCATTTATTGCTAATGACATTTTCCCAGAACTATAACAATTCTGTTTTCCAACAACACAGGTATTTCACAATAAATTCAGGGATTTATGTTTTAATTTGAAACTCAGTTCTGTGTTCATGCTGACAAAAATATGTATCTTTTACTCGTGCTCTGCACCCCATTCCTTTTTGACCCTCAGTCACGACATTACCCCATGTGTGGTTCCCGCAAGTACTTTCCTGTCCGGGCGCTGTGTCTCCAGACACTGCGTATCTCTGTTATCTGGGTATTCCTGTTGAAGGATCTATGTGTGTAATGGAGTGCTGGGAGGGCATCTGTTCCCAAACCAGGCATGTTCTTCTGTGAACCACTTAAAAAAGTGGTTCATAGAAACCGTCTTCTTCATAGAAACTATGCAGCATGCTTTCCCTATCCTGTGTATTGTTGTTTATTTTCATGTGTGACATAGAATTAGAGGTACTCTGCCAAGCACTTTCTAGACCAGCAAAGAAATGTGGGACCCAGCCCATTTACAAAGATAGAAGTTCAAAGTCAAACATGAAGCTGGTTTACATCTTTTAAAATAGTTTATGGATCATCCTTACCTATTCTATAAATGAATTTTAATCCTCCAAATAAAAAAGAAGCTATTTCTACCTTGAGGCATCTCTGAAATGTAGGAACAACATGCCTTTAGACAGCCAGGTCTGGTTTGGATCAGCTAATACACTTTGCAAAGGGTTTTATCTAAATTAAGCTTTGCTTCCTCTCCAAGGAATGTCCGAGGTTGTATCTGGGTGTGTGACTTACCAGTTTGAGTAGAATGGGGCCTTACAGCCATTTGGGTGAGCTGGTCCTTAGGAAGGTCAACCACTTCTTTGGCAGAACAAAGAGGAATATTTTATGAACAGGATTATACTACACAGTCTTGCTGAGAGGTCCTGCTGAGTTACCTCCTGACAAACTAGACAAACTAAATGCATCGCTTGTAAGGTTGTAAATGGGTTTTTGGCCTCGTTAGATTCATTTCTTTATCCCCTAAATGGCAAAAGGCATAAAGCAAGGATATGATTGACATTTGCTCTGCTCTTTGTTTCCCTAACAATCTAGTGAGGGGTGACACCAAGAAGCTTTTCATTTGTTTTCTTTAGGCTATTTTTTCTTTTGTTGGATGCTATCCTAATCTCAAAACTTGGTTTTATTTCTTAACTTAAGGAAAAAGCACTCGGGAGTAAGAGATGAGTAACTGGCCCATATAGTTGAAATTATACAACCAAGAACCCAAGAAACGGGAAGCATTAATACATACCTTGCACATAGGGGGTTGGTATGAGCCCAGAATGTGACATGTAATTGTCAACTTCTATTGGATTCCTCCAGCATGTTTCCTGTCACTTCTGCTTAAAACAATAGAAAAGAGAGGTGAACAGGGAAAAATGGCATAGTGCAAATTCCTTCAGCTGAACTGAATATGTAAATAGATCCTTTAGTCTAAAGGTTTGGTCAAGTGACTAGGTTTCAAGGCATCTATCCATCTCTAACTTAACCCCAACTTCTTCCAGTGTGGGAGTACAGCCAGGTGAAAATATATTTCAGAGGAAATTCTTCCACCTCACTAGGATATGCAGGAAGGGAAATAAACATTCCATGTATACAAAGATGGAACGCTTGGGTTTTCTTGATACTTGTGTTTAAGCAGAGTGAAGATTAGGGAAATCTTTAGTAAGACCATCCAGAGTGAAGTGATGTTCATTCTGATAGAGTTTTAGCAAAACTATCTGCTACCTGGCTATCTAATATCAGGTGAACATCTGTGCCAGGTTTATTAACATAGTGTATGCTTCTCCTCCAACTAATTCTTCCAAGAACTTCCCATTATTTCCATTTTATATATAAAGAAACAGAAGTTCACAAAGGTCAAGTAACTTGCCTATGACCAAACAGCTAGTGTATGACAACATTAGGGTTCAAGTGCATGATGATTCTCTGTCTCGATTATTATAAAAATATTTTCCCAACATGATGCAGCATCCACGTTAATTGATGTGGTTGTCAAGTTATCCTCTTAACACAAACAAATATAAATTTGAGGAAAGGAGTAGGCCAGTTGTTTTTGGCAATTTCCTATATAGATCGTTATTTATTCCTCCTAATACTGGAGTAGGAAATGTAAACTATTTATTTTACGTTGGGAATTCACTGAACTTCTTTGACAAGCCTCATCTATCTTCTAGCTGGAGTTAATGGGAAGTTAATTCATTTTAAGTGATTGAAATGTGTGTAATTTCAAGATATTGAATTATACCTTACAAACAAAGTATTATAATGGCATAATGAAATACTGATTTTGGGAGGTACTTAATCTGGCCAAACAAATGAAAAGTTAGATCACCATCTTATTAATTAAAACTCTCTTCCAGTTGATAAGATCTTTACAAAATACGTAAGTAAAATCTCTCTAACTCCTAGCATTAAATTAGGTTGAATTATGTTAGTTGTATGTAGACGGGATCCAGGAAAAGTATTTGAGTTTATGCTACTCTATTCCATGCACTGTAAATGGGACACCTACAGACATTGGTGGAATAGAACATTTTATTCTCCTCTCATGCTTTTAAAATGAATTTAATGGGGATAGCTGTTTTTTCCTTTAAATTTTGTTAACCTTAGGATATGACAGTAGAACAATTCTGAATCACACTGGAAATCTGAGGGCCTTCTTAATTCTTTCCTTTCCCTGATTTTTCACAACTCAATAATGACTGTCAATGCTGAAAATCCATCTCCTAAATATTTTTCCAATTTATCCTGTTTTTCTATTTCCACTGACTATGTCTTAGATCAGACTCCTGTTAATTCTTGTCTCAGTCTTAGCAGTGACCTCTGTGCTGTGAGGCTTAATGCCTCTCAAACCTCTCACCCAGAGCTGCACCCCAGCCTTCTTCCCAAAGGCAAGTCAGATTCCTTTCCCCTTTTGTTTAGGTCCCCCACATACTAATTCTGCCCAGCTTTTAGATCTCTACCCAGCACTGCCCAGCCCCCTCATGATTCTCTGGACTGACTGAAGAAAGCTCAAGTTCTTCAGCCTAGAACACAGCCCATGATCATTAGAGTCCTAATTTTACAACCTTACTTCCACAAGCCTTCTTAAATTTCACAAAATATGGTCTGAAAGCTAAGAGCATGAGCTCTGAGACCAGACAGCCTGAATCCCACTTTTCCTTGTTCCTGTTAAGATCGACTCTGCCACATATTATTTGTGTGACTTTGAGAAAGTTACTCAAGCTCGTTGTGCTTTAGTTTCCTAATTTGTAACACAGGGGATGAAAATACTGCATGGAGTTGCCGAGAGACTGAGTTAACGCACGTAAAGTGCTGACGAGGGTGCTCACACACAGTAGGTGTTCAGTTATGCCCGTGGTTAGTATCACGCTGGAGGTTTGATGTCATTTCAGACACATTTGATGTTTGACTTCTGTCGATGCCCTGTAGTTCCTTAATCAACTCACAAATTTCTGTCCACCCTTGAAAGCTCAGATGTTCCCTCTCCAAGAACCCTTCTCTGACTCTGCCAAATAGACTTAATCATTACAACCTATGCGATAACACTGTGCCTTGTTTCTTCTCCGTTGTTTCACTTATCCCATCGGTGTGTAATGTGTGTGCCTGTGTGCATGTGTGTGCACATGTGTGCATGTGTGTGCCCACATGTGTGCATGTGCATGTTTATCTCTCTACTTTCACAGTGTGAACACAGAGGCTTTTATTTATTTGTCTTTGTCTTTATGCTCTCAAATACAATTCTCTTTTTTTAAAAAAAAATATGTTTTTATTGATTTTTTAGAGAGAAAGGAAAGGGGAGAGAGAAACATTGATGTGAAAGACATACATCTATCGGCTGCCTCCTGCAAGCCCCCTACTGGGGATCAAGCCTGCAACCCGGGCATGTGGCCTGAACAGGAATCAAACCCGGACTTCTCAGAACCAGAACTTCTCAGTCCATGGGACGTCGCTTAGTCCACTAAGCCACACTGGCTGGACACCAGACACAGTTCCCTCAGATAGTATATCTAGTATTAAATGCTTTCTGAATGTTGAATGAATGGTGAACTGGTAAATGTCCCAGTGGCTCTATCCCAACAAATGTTTTTTTCTATGTACATACACACACATGGCTGAAAAATTTTAAACACAAATCACATAGTTTACATTAAATATCATGAATATAGTAATTGTTCTTAACATAGATAAAATAGGGATGGTGTTTTAACCACTATTCTGCATCCCCAAAAGCCCTTGCATGGCATCAAAATTATTATAGTTCTCATTCTGATATTCACTAATACAGTCCAATTTTTAAATCTCTGTACAGCATCTTCCCAGACCAGTCTAGATTCATGACTGCTTACCACATCTCTCTGATTAATAAAATAATGTAACACAAATTTGATTTAAACATTAAATTACATGGAAGTG